ATTAAAATTATTATTATTATTATTATTATTATTCTTAAAAATCATCTTTATATTTTTGATCTTTATAAATTATTATTATTATTATTTTATTGTTCATATTATATTTTTTTCTTTAAATCTATTTTTTGAATACATTCTTTTTCAACTTCAATTTACTAATTTAATAAATTCAATTTTATTATTATTATTTTTCATTCAAAGTTTATTTTAAATTTTATTTTGTCATAAAATTTTAATATTTGGTAAATTTTCATTATTATTATTATTTATTATTATTATTATTATTATTATTATTATTATGCAATATTATTATTATTAAATCTTCTATCATTTAATTCATTTTTTCAAGTTTTTAATACAACTTAAATTACTCTTACTACTAATAATAATCTGGGTCATGTAATTATAATTATCATTACAATTATTGTTTCTTATCTTTCTTGATAGTTTGTTTTTTATTTTAGCTTTTTGTAATTAAAATATTTGTCAATACTATTTTAATTGTTTTTAAGTCCATTTTTTTTTTGGGAAAATAAAGACGTATCAAAACGCTATTGGTTTCAGTAAGAATAAGATTGATGTGTTTAATACATTTTTCAATTAAATGAAAATTTCATCAACATTTTTCAAAAAATCAATTCTTAATGATGTTTTTTACATTATTTGTTCAAATTGTTGTTAAATTTCAAAAAATTAAACATTGATTATTGATGAGATTCATTTTTAATTTTTTTTATTTTTCAAATTGAAAGTAAATGAGACATTTTTAAAATGTTAGTTTCGGGGAAGAGGAAAGATAAAAAAAAAAAATTATAAAAATAGGAAAAAAAGCCAATATTTTCTTGAAAGTCTCAAGTAATTTTTTTTTATTAATGTGAATAATTTTCTTGAGCCTTTGGAAAATCACTGTCATTGAAGGAATTTCCCAACATTTACATTGTATTTAAACAAAAACAAAATTTTAATTTTTCGTTTTTTTGACTTTTTTGTTTTTTTTTTTGAAGGATAATATTTCATCCAATTTAATCTTTTATTTTCCTGTGGATTTCGATTCAAAATTTTTCTTCATCCTCTGTTAAATTTGTTTTTTAAATAAAAAAAATTGCATAAAACTTTAAAATAGGATAGGAAATTATCTGATAATTATTTTTAAATAAAAAAATATTTATTTATAAAAAGAATTAAAATCCAACAATTAATTATTTTGAAAAACAAAAGCCCTGATTTAATGAATATTAAAAAAAGAAATAATTACCGAATTAATTACCTCCAGACGATTAATAATTTTAACAAATGTTTATTCAGAAAAAGAATTTTTATTTGACAGGTTAAGACATTAAATAAATTTTCATTAATTTAGAAAAAAACGTGAAAAATACAAGATTTAGGTTGGGTTTATTTTTTTTCAATTTTTTGCCAGGTAATAATAAAAAGGAAAAATTTGAAAAAATATTGCAATTGATTTTTATTTAAATTCAAAAAACTTTTTATATATGAAGAATAATTATCTGAAATAATTATAGATTATGATATTTGATTTTCAATTTTAAATTATTTTAAATCATAATTAAGATTTCCAAGATTTTAAAAATTCTTTTTTCTTTCAGAAATTTTTTTGACAAATTTGCGGTGATTCAATACATTTTTTCCTTTTTAGGTTTCTGCATAAATCAAATTGCGGTTTCAAATTTTTTTTTTATTTAAAATTTCGTTTATTAATTTATATTTCTTTTACAGTAAGCAAGAAATCGGACCAAAAATTGAAAGAAAATTTAATCGTCTTGTAATTCCAAACCATTTTCTACTATAGGACCAATTTAATTTGAAAAATTTTATTTTACCGAAATCTTTGAAGACCTGCCTCACAGTGTTAAATCAAACCAAGGTTTTCGGTTGGTTTCAGGAGAATCGAATGGGTCTCAATTCCAGTTTTCCCTGCTAAATGTTTTTTTTTTTTGTAAAAATGGTGTTCCAACATTTAACCTATTACTGCAGGAATTAGTTATTTGTTCATGTTCCGTAGCGTCCTCATTTAGATCTGGGTATTTTCCTATCTTATTAATTTCTTTGGCTTTACCAGTTTCTGTTTTTCAAAATTATGGAACGTGAAAATACAGACATTAAATTAAAGCCCTGTATAAATTAGTTAACTTGATAAAGAAACTTATCTATTAAAAAAAATAAATAAAAATTCGAGAATTAAAAATTTAAAATAAAAGAAGATCATGTTTCTGGAAAAAAAAAAAAAAAAATCCATATTTATTATTAAAATTGGGACTGTCATTAAAAGAATAAAACCTCAGACATTTTTAAAATCCAAATATAAGAAGAAATTGAATACCACATTTTTTTTAATTGAAACAAATAATTATTAATAAATATGATTAATCGTATTATCGAGAATGAGCAGAAATAAATTTTATTTTGAAAAAAATATCCATTAAACAATAAAAGTCAATAAGAAAAAATATTTTTCATTTTGAACTATTCTTTTTTGTTTTTTATTATAAAAAGAAAAAAAAAGAAATCCAGTTTTTGAAAGAAAGAATGGAGATAAAGGAAGGAAAGGAAAGGATTCAAAGGAAGGAAGGAAGGAAGGAAGGAAAGAAGGAAGGAACGAAAAGGTTTAAAAGGAATTTTGGATTAAAAAAAGAAAAGAAAGAAAGAAAGAAAAAAAATTATTAAAGGAAAGGAAAGCAATAAAGGAAGGAAGGAAGGAAGAAAGGAAGGAAGGAAAAAAGGAAAAGAAAGGAAGAAGGAAGGAAGGAAGGAAGAAAGGAAGGAAGGAAGGAAAGGAAGGAAGGAAGAAAAAAAGAAAGAAAAGGAAGGAAAAGAAAGGAAGGAAGGGAAAGAAAGGAAAAAACAAAAAGAAAGAAAGGAAGGAAGGAAGAAAGGAAGGAAGGAAAAAAGAAAAGGAAAAGGAAAAGGAAAAAGGAAGGAAGGAAGGAAAGGAAGGAAGGAAGGAAGAAAAGAAGGAAAAAGAAAAAAGAAAGGGAAGGAAGGAAAGGAAGAAAGGAAGGAAAAGGAAGGAAGAAAGAAAAGGAAGGAAGAAGGAAGAAAGAAAGGAAAAAAAGAAAGAAGTGTTAAACGACTGTTTCAGTGAAATGAAAAAAGTTAAATTTCAATTTCGGGAATTTTACTCTTTATAATAACGACCAGCGTTCTTATTTCTGCTTGTTATTGGAGTAATGGATATCGGCCCGGATTGAGGAATCGGTAGAGCCAAGTTCGAATCGCAGTCGAATCCATTACATTCACTTACATGCAAATACCCTTGGGAAAAGTATGAATCGACTTCTACTTCCCCCCCCTCAGCTATTACTAAATAGCAGGACAGACCAGGTTCTATAGCTTTGGATGGCAATTGTTCTACCGCAGAAAGAAAGAAATGGCAACCAATTGCGGGAAAAATCTGCCACGTCAGTCATGTATCGAAAGATACATGAACGCTTATGCGTTCATGGCACATAACTGAGTGGTTACAATATTTTGTTAAAGCCGTTAATCTCAAATATTTAACGATGCTATAGAGGAATTTCTACGGATATTTTATTTTCTTATAACTCACCATTAACTCAAGAATTAAGTTTTCCTTTCATCATCATCTTTTATTTCTTCTTCCTTCTAAAAGCTAAGATGAGATTTGCTCGAACAACTTGCTTCGTTTCCAGAAGCCTCTATATTTCTAGTCGTACAGTAAGCAAGAAATCGGACCCAACAGAAAGAAACGGTTAATCGTCTTGTAAAGAAACCATTTTCTATTTTTTCTTTTTTTTCCTTTTTTCATTCGATAACAACCTTCATATTGTTTTTAGATCAATCATCTGTCGCCTGGATGTGAGAAATCCTTGTTTATTTCCTCATACAGCTGACAGCATCACGTGACGCCATATTAGAGAGTTTCGCGCGCTAATCAGTTTCTCAAAATAGCTAAGCTGTTCATCATTTCCGAGACTGAGGTTTGTGTCGAAGGAGGAAGTGTAATGAAGTGACGCATGCGCAGAAATCGACAAATCACTCGTGTGAGTTTTCCCTCACACTCATACGCACCCCATCTCTCTCTCTCTCTCTCTCTCTCTCTCTCTCGCTCACTTTCTATCCCTTTCTCTCTCTTTCTCTCGATCAATCAAAAATAGAATAAAAAAGATATCTTCCTTTTTTCTTTCGTATTTTTTCTCTATTACCATTTTTTCTATCTCTTTTTATTTCTCTTTCTCTCTCACACACATATTCTCCCATCCTCTCTCTCTCTCTCTCTCTCTCTCAAAGACTCATTTTTCTCTCTCTAATTCTCTCTCTCTCTCTCTGACATATTTTATCTCAATAACTCTGTCTCTTTCTACCTCCTCGCTTCGCTCTTGTTCATACTTTCTGTCATTTTATCTCTCCCTCACGCCCCCATTCAGTCTCTCTCTATATATTTTCTTCTCTCCTCCTTCTCTCTTTTTTTCTGTCACTATTTCATTCTCTGTCTCTTTTTCATACACCTACTATCTAACTCACACATACTCTTTCTTTTTAGAGTCACTTTCTCTTTTTCGACATATTTTATCCCAATCTTTTTATATCTCTCTCTCTCTCTCTCTCTCTCTCTCTACCTCCTCCTTCCCTCTCATGTTCATTCTCACTTTTATTTTCTCTCTCATTCATACTCTCAATCTATCTATCTCTCTAGCTAGCTATCTTCTCTGTTTCAGTTACTACTTCCTAATTCTTTTTATCTACTTTTTTTTTTTATATCTCTGTTCTTTTTATCGCTCACCTATCTCTTTCTTTTTTAGAGTTCTTTCTCCCTTCACCCCTTAACTCTCTCGTCTCCCACTATCTCTTCATCCACCCAGTCTTTCTCCCTTCAACCCACTCTTTCTCAGTCGTTCAATCTTCTCTCTCTCCATTCTCTCTATCTCTCCTCTCTTTATCAAACTTTTACTTATCTTTTCTCAATTAGTTCCAAATTTCTCTTTTAACTCTTCTTTCATCCCGTTCTTTTCTCTCTCTCAATGACCCCTTATAAAAAAAACATTCTTCTATCCATTTCTCTCTCCTCTCTTAAAACATACTTATCTTTTTTTTTTCTTTACCCTTCATATTCTTCTCTCTTTTCTCTATCCATTTCTCTCCCCCTCTCTCATCCAGTCTCCTTTCATTTTGTTCTCATTATCTTTCTTCTTCATTTATTCTTTTCTTCTTTATACTCCCTCTTGCTCTCTCTCTCTCTCTCACCTTGTCATTCTTTCTTCTTTATACTCCCTCGTTCTCTTGTTCTCTCTCTCTCTCTTTTTCTCCTCTCTTTTTATTGTCTATCTTTCTTTAATCTTGGTCCCTCAAGCGAAGCAATTAGAACGACGCTATATCAAACAATCGCAAAGAGAAATCCTATTATTTTTAAGGACTCATTCAGGATTTAAGATTCAACGCAACCCGCTACAGTTTCGGGCCGTACCATTTTCTCGCGCTGCAAATATTTAAAGAATATACCGTGATAGATAAGGACCATCGCAAATGGCAAAATGTTGCTACAAATCTCCAAAGAAATTGAAAATAAAAAAGAAGAAAAATACAGGGATCTTTTTTTTTTAAATCATTGCACCCCAAGCAAAATCACTAAGACACAAGGAGTTACTGAGTTTGAAAGAATATTAATGAGAGAGAACAGGAATTAAGAAGACAGAAGATAACAATAATCGCATTTAGATTTTTAAAAATCAAAGTTGTCTGAAAAGGAAGAAGCGAGAAGAGAGTTCTACAAGCGAGGTGTGTGAGAGAAGAAATTGTTAGCGTAGAACTTATGGTTACATTTTGCCATTTCAAATGTAAAATGATGAGATCTATCCGCCAATCTAGTACTGCGCTTACAATAGGCGATCTGATGAGTGGGTGGAAGAAACTATGGAACATAGGACTGTTGAAATAATCATTATAGGAACAGATGCACTTGTATCACTACCTTGAAGATTGAAAACGTGCTTGGAACTGAGACCAAGATTGTAGATCTGTAAAAAAAACTACCATCTTTTATTCTGAGAGGATTTTCCGAAAGTTTCGTGACTTGTGGGGTACTTTGTTGACAACATCCTTCAAGAACAGAATTCCCGTTGACAACATCAACGTACGACATAAACAGAAAATATAAGACATTTGCAGAAAGATTTTTCGGCTAATGACCAAGGAGGGGATTGTACTGAACAGATATAAATAATAATAATAATAATAATAATAATATGACACATGGGAACATCACCAATCCCTGTTGTAGAATCTCAAAAATGTGGCACATGGGAACATCAACAATCCCTATTGTAGTTGGAACCCTCGGATTGGTTAGAAAAGATGGCAGTAGACTAATTGAAGTGATTCCTGGAAGTCCATGCCTTAAAGAAATACAAAAGATTGTTCTCACGAGTACAACCCACACCTTACGAAGGGATTTATCTATGTAAAATATATGTGTGTGTGTGTGTTTTGTTTTTTTTTTGTATTTAAGCATGTAACTGTCACCGATAGGTGTTGACTACAATGTCCAATTTTATATTTACATACGTTCTATCCCTCATATTGAACTCTTTAACTCATAATATGTTGATACTCCTTGAAGAGTGCACGGACAAATCCGTCTACGAAACTCTGGAGTCGGGATGCTGAAAGTAACATCAATCAGCTAAGTGACAAACTTTTTTAATTTTGTTATTAATCTCTCTCTCTCTCTCTCTCTCTGTATATATATATATATATATATATATATATATATATATATATATATATATATATATATTCAAAGGATTAATTTTTGGTAGCTTTAGAAAATTGATTAAGGAAAATAACATTTTCTTTCAAATAGTATTTATTTTCCCAAATACTTTCAATCTCATCTGAGACCATCTTCATGGGGTTAAGTTGTCTGTCAGTATGTATATATGTTTCTGTAAATTCAAAAACATTTCAACTGTTCATTTTTACTGTTTATGTAGCGTTCTAGATTTCAAAGTTAACTTTTGGGATTTTTTTTTTCAGTATAACTGTAACTTGTACATTTTTTTGCTCATAAAATCCTTAAATGCTTATAATACATACATACATATATATATATATATATATATATATATATATATATATATATATATATATATATATATATTATAAGAATTTAAGGACTTTGTTGCTATACTTATAGTTGATTTATTTGGGGCTTTAATTCTCTTATATAAAGAGTTTCAAGGATTTTTCTTTTTTGCTAAATTATTTAACCAAACCAGTTTGAATTAAAATATTGCCTAAATATACACATTATTATATCTATCTATCTATCTATCTATCTATCTATCTATCTCTCTCTCTCTCTCTCTATATATATATATATATATATATATATATATATATATATATATATATATATTTTGAACAATAAAAAAAAAAAAAAAAATTAAAATCTTTAGACACACTGTGTTGTAGATTAATATTCTTTCGTTTTTTTATTATTATCCCATTTAGATTCCTCGACTAGTTTCGACCAAAATGGCCATCATCGGGAGGAGAAATATTTCTGCTTGCTGTTAGCACTAAACTACAGAAATGAATGTCTTTTGCTGGAGAAAATGAACTTTTGTCTGTAGTTTTCATTTGTTTTTTTTATTTTTTTATCTTTTTAACATGAATCTTTTAACATTATTTAAAGATTATATAAATATACTAGCATAGTACCCATAAAAAATGTCATAGTTTTAATGTCTTCACTTCTGCCTGGGATTAGAGTATTTGAATATTCTGCCACAGATTCAAGTGTCACTCACCAGATCACTGGGAATACTACATTCATGTACTAGCATGAATATTACTATGTTACAAAATAGTAAAAAAAAAAAAAAAAATTATCAGAATATCTACACCCAGATTGAACTCCCAGAATAATTATGTGGATTAAAGAGTTAGTTCATGAATTTAGTGATATATTAATTGTGAGTTCAATCCCTGGGCCAAGAAGTGTGTACTTGAACTCAGGGTAAGCAATAACAAAGCTGTACTAAAAATAAGAACAAGATGAGATATCCCTAGACATGGACAATAGAACATTAACAATCTACCCACTTAGATTAAATAAAGGGTTCATAATTGCCTGTAGGTTAACCGGAGCGATAAATGCCTGATGAAGACCAGAGGGCACAACGGTCGAAACGTTCTGATAACAGCAAAGATGAGGATAATAGTCCAAATGTACATGGTGTAAACAATGAAAAGAATCTCAGACGGAGGTTAATATAAATGGGTTTATAAAAAACAAGGTTAATTACTAAAGCTTGTAAGTTTTCATGGGACAATAGCCTCGTGGATTTCGTCGGACCTCATAGAATGGCGCTATACGATCATAAAGAGCTTTATCAAATAACAGAAAACATATCTCTTGAAGACTTGCAGCTGTAGTAACAAATAAAATGGACAGCAATACTCGAATGGAAAATAATGACATAATCAAAATATTGACTTCACACACGATTTGAAGCAAAAAAGTTAGAGAAAAAAACGCCCATCATTACTAGGAGGGGGTCGACTGTAGTCGGGATCACTGTAAATTATATGATCTTTTTTTCTTTTTTCTTAGTATGAGCTTCGCCTGAGTTACATACCATTTTGAATACAGAGTTGTCTTTCTCCGACACTGGCTACCAACCAAGGCGGAAGAGCCCAGTCTGTTTTACTGTTTAACCTATAAATGGGGAGAGAAGAGGTGGATTCATTAATTTTGCCCATAGTTATTTGCGGATAAGTGGATGTAACGAAGTTGACTGGAATTCGAACACGGCTCTCCGATTTCTCACTTCGGGCTGATAACCATTACACCAGCCACACCTCAATGGTCGAATGAGTAATAATAGTTAGTGGACTTTTGAAGTCTTTTTTTTTTTTTTGTTTTTTTTTTCTGAAAAGCAGAAAATAACGCTATCTATTCGGTCAATGAACGATGACTGTTTCCTTATACGATTTTTGATCGATTCATCCGTTTTTTACGGTTTATCGACCCTTTGCAGGTAATTTGAAGCCTCCGTGAAAATATTCTGTGAGAATTTAATTATTTGTATATTATTTTTTTTTTTTTTTTTAGAAATAATACTTATTTAGTGATATTAGTTTTACTAGTTAACCCATAGCTGGGGGAGAATCGGTGGATTCCTAACCTTCCCAAGGTTATTTGCGCGTAGGTGAAGGTAACGAAGCAAAATAGAATTAAAACCCGGTTCATCGATTAACATTTCAGAACCATAATCCCTTACATCCACCCAAGCTTACAGCATTCCAAAGCGATCACCCTTCTAGATACTGACCAGATTCGACGTTGCTTAACTTCGGTAATCGTAGCTGAACCGGTTTCAACTTGAAAAGGGACATTTAATGCGTTAAGTCAGTTATGTGGCATGCGTAATACACGCTTTGGCGATCATGTATCTTTTGATACATGACTGACGTGGCAGTTTTTTCCCCGCAGTAGGTTGCCACTTTTTTCTGCGTTAGACCAGTTGCCATCCATAGCTATAGAACCCGGACTGTCTTGCTATTTACCCATAGCTGGGGGGAGAAAAAGAGGATTCATACCTTTCCTAAGGGTATTAGCACGTAAGTGAATGTAATGGATTCGACTAGAATTCGAACTCGGCTCTCCGATTCCTCAACCGCTATCTATTAATGCATCGGGCCTACTTGACCTTATTTTTTTTTTTTTTAATAATAATGTAATAATAACTAAAATATAAAATGTATTGATAATTTCGTCTCTCAAAATTCAAAACAAAAAAAAAATATTTTTGTTTCTTTTTATTCGCGTAGGATTTAATTGTTTAGCGGCATATCAACATCTTTATGGGTCATTCAATGCCGACATTTAATTTTCAATTTTCTTCGGAGCTCTGAAGTAGTAAAAATATGGGTGAGCATTTAGTTTAAGCTTGACAGGAGCTTCATTTTCCAAAAAGAGAGCAAGTCGAAACTTCGAGCGGTTTAAGAAAAAATTAGGTTAGTGTAATATAAAGGTCTTCTCAATCGCCTGACTTTATATCTAATCAAGGATTTACGTCATCAATTTCAGATTGTAGTTAATAAACGGGAATCATCGCAGCTGGAAGATGAGGAATGATTCAGTAGAGGAAATTCGTAAAAAAATAAATAGCAACTGGCGCATACAGAAAGCTTATCAAAGGATACAGAAAGAAAAAAAAATCTATTAGCGGTAATCGGTACCAAAGCAGTTGCCAGAGTTGATAACTTATCAACGCTTTATGGGTCGTTTTATGCCAAAATTAAATTTTCTTGGGAGCCTCGAAGTAACAAAAATAAAATATATGTTATTCTGCTTTCACAATTGAATACATGGTAGATGATACTCAGCTTTTGTGCATATACATGTTTGTGTGGACATAATTGGTAGAGCCGGCGATATGTATGTTTTGTGTTGTTTTGTTGAAGTTATATTTTGGACTATAGCTTGATTTAAGAAATTGTGGGATATTATATGAATTAATGTCATGAAAGAGTTTCTCCATGTAAGTTGATATATTGTTGGTAATTTTACTATAAATAGGTATTTTTGGTAATATTTTATATAAACATGTATTGCTGGTATTTTTACTAATGTATTTTTATACTTTCATCGGGTTTTGTTTCTGTTTCGGAGATTTACTATTTGCCCATAGCTGGGACCCTAACAGGTGCTACCACTTGGGTCAGGGTGGACCTGGGAAAGACAGCAGTTAAGAGACGGTTGAAAACTTCCCAGAACTTCTAGTCTTCCGATCAGTGGCCTTGCTGCCGGATGAATTTCATCGTCATGCCCAGGACTATTTTCATTCTGGGAGACTCACGAGCTGTTTGTGGCATTTTTTGATAAGCGAAAAATCTGGACAATCTGACAGATGTAAATAATGAAATAAAAAAGTTTGAATTCACCGTGTTTTTTGGGGGGGGGTTGTCTCTCTCTCTCTCTCTCTCCCTCTCTCTCTTCTCTCTCTCTCTGTCTCTCTCTCTCTCCCTCTCCCTCTCTCTCTCTTCTCTCTCTCTCTGTCTCTCTCTCTCTCTCTCTCTCTCTCTCGTGGGTGGTCGCATTGACAGTATTTCAAGTGACTAGTTCTTGGAAAATAGCACCTGTCACATTTTTCCTTTTCTCCTTTTTTTTTTAAATTCTGCAGAAGTTACCAAGAATAAGCGGGAATCGAAGAAGTCCTCTAAATGACAGTTTCTTTAGCGAATGAAATTCTCTGACGGCTTCTATCTTCGCAGACCAATCACAGAATTACCAACGTTTACAAACTGCCAGTTTATGGCTTCAGATAAGAATTTTTTCGTCTCATTCAAGGTTTTTCTTTATTTAAAGAGGGTGAAACAATCCCCGAGGTTGTTAGATAGGTGGGAATAAAGAACATTACCTACCTGGCGAATATGCCCGAATATAATAAATGCGCGATTGATTATGGACAGAGGCATATTCTTTCTTTTGCGAATCGGTGTACCTAGAATGGTAAGTAGACAGATAGATAGATAGATAGATAGATAGATAGATAGATAGATAGATAGATAGATAGATAGATATGAAGAGATTAAGATAGAGGGAGGGAGATAGATGAAAAGAATAAGATAGATAGATAGATAGATAGATAGATAGATAGATAGATAGATAGATAGATATCGAATAATATAGATTAATAAATTGTAAGATAGATAGATAGATAGATAGATAGATAGATAGATAGATAGATAAAGAGAGAGAGAAATGAAAAGAATAAGATAGATAGATAGATAGATAGATAGATAGATAGATAGATAGATAGATAGATAGTGACCAGACTGAGATAGATAGATAGATAGATAGATAGATAGATAGATAGATAGATAGATAGATAGATAGATAGATAGATAGATTGCAATACAGAGATAGATATGAAAAGAATAAGATCGATTTCTAGATAGATATGAATGTCAAAATAATGGGACGGAAAATAGGTGCTGCTATAGTTTTTTTTTTTTAATTTATTTGCCTGTAACACGAGTATCCAAGAACTTGTCTTTAAACTGGGACCGAACACAGACTACTAGAGCCATTAGGAAAACTTGATGAGTAGATCTGAATAGACCGAGATAGATAGATAGATAGATAGATAGATAGATAGATAGATAGATTGCAATAGAGAGATAGTTATGAAAAGAATAAGATAGATTTAAAGATAGAAATGAACAAAAAAGAATAAGATAGATTATTAGATAGATAGATAGAATAGATAGATAGATAGATAGATAGATAGATAGATAGATAGATAGCGAGAGAGACAGAAAGATTGTGTGTGTGTGAGTGTGTGAGAGAGAGATAGGAAGAGAAAGATAAAGAACATATTCCCTCAGATTTGACATTTAATAAAGATTGACAAGAATTTTTAGAATTTCCCTTTAAACAGAAAATAAACAAACGGACAATCACTTGTGCAATTGCCTCAACAAGAGGAACATAGGAAATGTCAAATTACAAAAGGAAAACTTGGTTAATCTGAAAGTGGAATGTGTCAGCTTCCACTTTGTCTATTTATGAATGAAGGAGAAGGGAACTGCATCCTTCTCGTCATTTTAACCTGAATCATCAAGATTATTTTAAGCAAGTAGATGGAATACTCAAAAGACAAAGAAAAAGGTTCCGTTGTTTGATTACGAGCTTTAATTAACTACGAACGGGTTGATAAGTTAAAACAAAAACAATCTAAAGTCTTCATAACATGTACTTCCTAAAGTTCTACATTTTCTAAAAAAAATTACAAAATACCGATAAGTCTGGCAGCTTCTCTCAAAAATGACCTTGTATCAGTTGTTAACTGAGGCAAGAAATGGCTTGTAAATTTTAAAGTCGCCAAAAGGAAACTGCTAAAATTTAGTCATCATAAAAAAAACAGTTTGCCATCCATTAGCATTTTCCTTTCGTATATGCATTCTAAAAGCTAAATAGAGTATTAAAAAACAGAAAAACTTAGTTAGAAACAAAGAAAAAATGACTAAACTGCAGGGCCGGTGCAAGTGTCTCGTTGGCCCGCACTGAATATGTGATTCAAAACTACAACTTAATTTTCATAAGGTAGTAGTCATACAAAATACAAATTCTATTGTATAAAAAGACTGAATGGAGTTTCGGTGAAACATAACGAAGAAAGACGGCTTGTTACCCACAGGGCATTGAAGGCAATAGCGACAGTAAAGGAAAACAACGTAAACGGATAGCGGAGGAACGTTCAAGAGAGATTAAGAGTTACAAGTGACAGGAAACCATGGAAAGGGATTGTTAATCGATGCTGGATAATCTTCACGGAGATGAAGAAGCGATTGGAAGCAACAGAAATTTGGTTCTACAGAAGGATGCTGAGAATACCATGGACTGAACATGTGAGCAATGACAGTCTTGTCACTGAATCTAACCAACGCCTTTATCCACTGTGCCATGTGTCCTTGAGGACCCAAAGAGTGTGAGTTCAATACCCGGTTAAGGCAGTGGAGAACTTTCAGAGGGAAATTAACAGGAGATAACTGATAACTGACATCCCTTAAACATGACACGTGGAACTAGAACAGTCTACCCCAGTGAGCGAAATAAAGGGTTCAGTTCGACATTTCAACCACCTGAAGAAGGCCGGAGCGTACAACTGCCGAAACGATGGCGATGAGGATAATAGTCCAAATAATTTAAATAAAAAGAACTAAATGTGACAAAGGGATAAACAAAATATATCTTACAGAAAGTTTTAAGAGATAGGAAAATAGAAAATGATTCTGGACTGAAATGTAATATCTGATCTCATATATGCCAGTGAATACACAGGTGAAGAAGGGGACGTGAGACGCCATGTTGTATACGCAAATGCTAAGAATACCATGGATATGAACAATGGGAAAGTTTTAAGGTAAATGGGAAGTAAAATGAAACGTATACTTACAATCAGAAAGAGACAGAATGAAGTTTCGGTAAAACATAATGAAGAATAACGGCTTGGAAAATCTAACGCTTACAGGACATACTGAGAGCAAAAGAAGGAGGGGGAAACAGCAAGTAAACTACTAAACAAGTTCGTGTGAATGCCTAACAGCAGGGCGGATGCAAAGGTCTTATAGGCACCCCACCGAATCTATGATATGCCCCACAGAATGTATGATTCAGCCCCCCCACTCTATTATATCTCAATTTTCCATACTATTTTTTCCACATAAAATACCAATTTTATTGGATCCTAATTATGTACAATAATGGATTATATGGAATATAGGTGAACAGTTCAACTTGAAAAATTGAAAATAAATACAATGTATCTGAATACAAATTAAAGACATGTTATAATAGATGATTCCATCGGATGTCACAGGCTCGTGTCTACACACCTCGCCCAGGACATGCTGGGCGATAGAAGGGCAGACATAAAACGATTTTAACCTGCTCTCTTTTTAGCTGAATAACTCAAAGGTTTTTTTTTTTTTTTTTTGTGATTCTTACCATAAATGGTTAAACTTCTTATCTGAAAAGCTGGAAAAAATAAACTCAATTAGTGTTTTTTTGATATTAAACAATTTGTGGGATGGATAATATATTAAACAATTTCTGGGATGGATAATGATCCCATGCTGTCACGCGATTAGAACAATTTTGATGTCATACCCGGTACATTCAACCGTACTGGTTAGAATTTCCATGATTTAAACTGATTTTGGTGTGAGGGGTTGAATGTATCTAAATACAAATTAGAGACACGTTATAATAGATGATTCCATCGGATGTCACAGGTTCGTGTCTACACACCTCGCCCAGGACATGTTGAGCGATAGTAGGGCTGACACATGACACAAAACGATAGGAAAACACAAAATGATTCTGAACAGAAATGTAATATCTGATCTCATATATGGCTGTGAATACACAGGTGAAGAAGGGGACGTTAGAAAATTATGTTGTATACGCAAATGCTAAGAATACAATCGGAAACTGTATACCTGCTTTGTCGACATCACAGCATCATATAACCACATCAACAGAGAATTCCTCTTCTCACCCATTAGAAGCCGCCTTCTAAGTTCCGAAATCACTGAATGCATCGATCTAACAGAGGATCTGTATCCATCTACAAAATCTTACATATCTGGCGAGGACCCCAATACCGTAACATTTCAGACGTCAGAAGTACGACATTTTGAAAATAAGAGGGTATTTATTCTGGTCAATACAGAATTGTGGCACAAGGCCAAGAAGAAAATAGGGAGGAACTGGTCTTTATTAGCTATCCTAGTCCTAATTAATCCGACTCACGACCTATTCATTTATAAAAATTTACTCATTCACCACAAGAACTCATCCAACACCTGTCAACCCTGCATGAACCACAATGCAACATAATCACAGGAGACCCTAAAAAACACCCTATGACATCAAAATTTCATGATTCATGAAATGATGGGGAAGAGGAGATAAACACAGAAAACAAACTCAATATGTAAACCAAAGATAAAATTAAAACAATGTTAGTAGGAACCCTTGACCCCTTCAAATAATTTATTAAAGGTTGTAATATTCGTTGCCGATCGACAGAATCAATTTCAAACAAATAAATTTAATAATGGAAAGGATAAAAAATAAAAGGTAAAAAAAAGAGACTCAGTCTATCTAACTTCGTAAGCTCCAGGTTTATGGTATTACTGGTCGACTGTTTGATCTAATACAATCATTCCTGTCAAACCGAGAATTGAAGGTCGTTCTCAACGGATTCTCCTCCAGTTCCTATCCCACGAACGCAGGTGTTCCCCAAGGCTCCATCCTTGGCCCCACTATTTTCCTTATTTTCATCAATGACCTTCCTGACGCCATAGATTCCCAAGTTGGCATCTACGCAGACGACACTACAATTTACTCCTGCAAAAAAAACAAATCTAGTGTCGCTGACAAAACTAACCTGGCCGTGCGTCTTGAAATGGACCTCCAATCGGTTGTTAACTGGGGCAAGAATTGGCTGGTCAACTTTAACGCCTCAAAAACTAAATTACTCTCCATTAATCACCATAGAGATCCTTCCCTGCCCCGCATTAAAATGTCTGATAGTCAACTTCTTGAGAGCAACTCCCTGCGTCTGCTCGGTCTCACGTTGACTGCTGACCTGAGATGGAACAAATACATTGAGTCAATTGCTTCTTCCACCGTGAGGAAAGTTGGCTCTCTGTGCCGTGCCAGGAAATTTTTCTCCCCGGAATCGATACTTCAAATATACAAGTCAACCATTCGCCCTTGCATGGAGTATTGCTGCCATATATGGTCTGGGGCACCTTCTGTTTACCTCGGAGTTCTTGACAAGATCCAGAGACGGATATGTAATATAATTGGCCCTGATCTGGCGTCGTCTCGTCTACAGTCACTCTCTCACAGACGCGCCGTCGCCTCTCTCTGTCTTTTTCTACAAATACTTTCATGGTAATTGCTCCGATGAGCTGCTTTCACTGGTTCCCAGACTCCATGAATTCAAGCGCCCTACGAGGCTGGCATCCCGCTCCCACCCTTACACTGTAGAAACTTTTTAAATGTAGCCGTCTCTTCTACTCCAATAGCTTCATACCTCGCACCTCTCGCCTGTGGAACACCCTTCCCAATTACTGTTTCCCTGAGAGCTATAATCTCCAACTATTCAAATGTAATGTCAATCGACATCTCCAGTTACCTTGATCTATCCACTATCCTTCTCCTCATCCTTTCTTCTATCACTCCTATCTGCTCTTGCTCCAAATCTTCTGCAACCCCCTGCATCCTAGTGGCTTCACGCCTTGCTCGGGGCGTAATGCTTAAAAAAAAAAAAAAAAAATATACAAGCACAAATATGAAGAGATATATATTGATCAAATAGGCATTCCATACCACATTCCAAACAAAATGTAAAATAGAAGGCAACGATGTCAAAACTTTTTCTTTTTGCAAAATATGTACTGAAAATAAAATTTCAAAAAATAATGGCATAGGTATTCCATTTTTAAAATAAGAAAGACCATGAACGGAAAAGCAACTAAAAATTTTCTACCAAATATTCCAATAAATAGATATCATTAAAATTTGAAAAAACAGAATCATATGATTTGGAATCGGAATGAATGCATTCTATTACAAAAAAGATGGATATTAAAAAAAAATTCAGGATAAAATTAAAAATTATTAAACACTTCAGGCATCTCGGCGCTTTTATTTAGTTATAATAAAGAAGTAAAAAAAAATTGAATATAGAACATAAATAATATGAAAATTTTTGTCCAACATTCTTGATTAAATTCAGAAAAAACATCAATTTGAATTTCGAGTCATGTTTTAGAAATAACTTTTATCAGATCGACAAAATTGTTTCATGTAGATGTCATGGATGGCGCCAAACACGTTCAAAGAAATAAAAAAAAACTGTCAGCTGTATGAAAAAAGTTTAAAATAAAAAAAAAAAAATGGTGAAAAGGTTTTTTGTTGATAATTAATATTTTTGCAAATATCATCCGCCATTGAACATAGGAAAAATTTTAAATAATCACAATGAAATAAAGCAAATAAAGAAACCGCATAAAATGAGGATTTCAACAGCAGCAACAACTAAAAATTTATTATATGTAACTCGAAGAAAAATAATTTTTATAATCAAGATGACATTTGAAATCACTTCAAAAAAAGGTTAGAAATGAAAATCCAATCACTTTGGAAAGATTTTAACAATTTCTCTTTATTGAAATTTATATTTTCCTGAAAATTTTTTTCAGGGAAAGATTTGAATTTAGAAAACCGATAAGTACTGAATAATAATTGATAGAATTTTTTTTTAATATTGATTTTTTACGGTCTGAAAATTTCGTCCATATTTTTAATATAAAATTTGTTCTACAAAAAGTAGACCTGAAACGAATAGTCAAGAATCATGTCTTCCTCGGTCAACGAATGCCAAATGTTTCCTTATAGGGAAACGGCTAATATTACCATTATGATTACCATTAGAGCGGAGAACATGTCTCAGTTGAGATAATCGAGTCCATATAAAATAAGTTAGTTTTGAACTTGGAAATTTTTTCAATAGGTAGCATGCAATTTGTAAAATAAAATTTTAAAGAAAATGGAGTTCTCCTTTTTTCTTTTTTTTAAAATAAAATTATTACATAGCACAGATGTGCTAATTAATCTAGAATTCAAAGGAAAAAGATGGAGAATTTGAAACGGTTGAAAATTGCCCTAGAATTTGTGTCTTCTTGTCGCGCTTTTTTTTAATCTTATGGTGTGACACGATGAGATTGTTAATTGGCATTTAAAAAATTATTAAAAAGAATTTTAAAATTTTTTTGTTTTAAGAAAATTCTATCAAGAAATGAATTTTTACTGAAAAAAGAAATTCCAAAATGATTTTCTATTTAAAGATTAACATTTTTTTTAATAAGTTTGAATCTGTCAAAATTTTGACATCTTGTTTATTTTTTAACTTCCGTAGTAAATTCCAAATTGAAAAAAAGGTTATTTGAGGTAATGAGTTCAAAATTTTTAAAAAATTTACAAACTGCAAAGTTGCATTTAACCTACATACAATATCCTGGCTGCCTTCGGACTTAAAGGCCAATAAGAATGTAATAAATAAAATTACTACTGAATGAGGGGGTTCAGAAGGTGTGTCCCCCTCCCCCCATGCTTGACTCATTGCCCAATTTTTAAATTATCACCCAAACTGTTTCGTTGGGCAATGAGAATATGATACGAAATGGTCTGTAATAGAAAATTTTAATCGGAATTTTTAAATTCATCTGAAAATTTATGAATTAAAGTTGGATCACTGAGTTTTACAAATCTTAGACCCGAAACGAATAGTCAAGAATCATGTCTTCATCTCTGACACTAGATTCTCTCCAGCCAGGAGAAGACATTGTGAAGACGCGGCTCTTTTGAAAAAAATTTAGATTTCTGAACCAAATAATTTGGTGTAAAATTGATAATCACATATTGATTAGCATAATTTAATCGTGCCGACAGTTTTTCTTCCCAAGGATTCAAAACAGTGGATGAAGGCGTTAGTGACAGGACTAAAAGATTTGTGAGTTCAAAAACCTGGTTAAGGCGGTGGAGAATTTGGAGAGGGTAATTAACAGGAGATATTTTTTGACATCCATTAGACATGGCATGGGACATAAGGAAACAGTCACCCCAGTGAATGAAATAAAGGGGTAATTTCGACATTCCTTTTATGTTGAAGAAGGCCGGAACGTACAACGGCCGAAACGTTGTGATAAATATGTCGACAAAGATGAGGACAATAGTCCGAATTTTTTTAAATAAAGGGTAATTTTCCTGTTCCAATAAATATTTTTTTTTATTTTCAAGGAGGGTTTTTCCATCCCTTTAAGTTGTTTTTTTTAAACGAACAATTTCATTTACTATACTGATAAAAGAAGTAAGTTCCGAATTTTTTTTTCAAATAAAAATAGGGGAAAATGGGTCTTGTGTTTTATTTAGGGATACATATTGTTTATTCCTTTAGAAGGTTAAACTATAAGAACAATGGTTCATTAAAAAATTAATTTACAACCGAAGATTTTTTAAAAAAAAAAAAAAAAAATATATATATATATATATATATATATATATATATATATATATATATATATATATATATATTTCAAATATATGTATATGAAACAACAAATTACAAGTGAATAGAAATGAACATTTGTACATTAAATTGGATGTAAAGAGTTTGTATTTTGGTGAATGTTGTTTACGTACGTGTCAAAATTTCATAATATGGCGTTTTCCACAAGTGGGCGAAATTTATATTTAAATTTTTAGAAATCAAATTTTTTGAATTTTTTCAAAATATTTTAAAAAAATTTAACTTAGAAAGATATTGGAACGAGGAATAAGAAGTGTTATTTAAGTATTTATAGTGTTAGTAAGAAAAGATTTAAAGTGAACAATTGGGAATTAAAGGAGGAGCTAACTCCGACAATCTCCCTTTGTGGGACAAAAATTTCACAACGTGAGCGATGAAGGAGTTGTGTCAAATATTCGGAAATTTTATTGTGGTAGTTAAAAAACTAAGATGATGCCTAATAAATTGACAAAAGCATAGGACCATGATTGGACATCAGTTTGGGGACAAAAAAATTAAAGTGAAGCAGCGATGAATCAATAGTGTAAATATTGTCGCCATTATATGTTCAACCCTTTATTCATTAAAAGGTAGAAAAAAAAATGCATTTATGCTTAGATGAGTAAATATATAAAGGAATTTTAAGAATATATTTATTAAAGGAATATTCCAAATTAAATTATGGTTTTTTAAAAACCATTTCTGGTGATTTAAAAACGGTTAAAAAAAAAAATAAAGAGTATAAAAAAATATTTTTTTAAAAATTTTTTTCCAAGAATGGAACTGACTGGTTGTTGTTGTCGTTTTATAAAAAAATTTTTTAAAAATTATCAACTCGTTATCAGAAAGGTGTGCAGCCAAAGAAGAAGAAGAAGTGAAAAAAAAGGGGGGAGAAAATAAAAGAAAAACAGAAAATATAAAAGTTAAATAAAAAAAGAAAAAAAAAGAAAGAAAGAAAAAAAATAAAAAAAGGAGAAAATCAAAAAAAAAAAAAAAAAAAAAAAAAACCAAAAAAAGAAAAAAAAAAAAACGAACAAAAAATGTTTAATGAAACGACAGGAAGAAAAAAGAGAAAAAAATCAAAATTTTTAGAAAGAAAGAAAGAAAAAAGAAAGAAACAAAGAAAAAAAAAAAAAAAGAAAAAGAAAAAAAAAAAGAAAAAAAGGAAAAAAATTAAAAAAACTTTTTTTTGAATTTTTTTTAAAAAGAAGCAAAAAAAAAAATATAAAATATAAATGAAAGAAAAGAAAGAAAGAAAAAAGAAAAAAAGGAACAAGGAAGAATTTATAAATAATTTAAAGATTTTAAGGAAGAAGCAAACAAAGTGTTTAACGAAAAGAAAGAAGTACAGGAACAACTATAGCTAAAAGAAAGAAAGAAGGAAACGAAATGCTATAATGAAGCGAAAGAAAGGAAGATGGAAACGAACAACTATAATTAAAAGAAAGAAAGAAAGAAGAAAACGAAATTTCATAATGGAAAGAAAAAACAAACGAACAGTTATAACGAAAAGAAAGAAAGAAAGAAAGAAAGAAAGAAAGAAGCAAATGAATAACTACAATGAAAAGGAAGAAACCAACAAAGAAGCAAAAAACTTATAACTAAAAGAAAGAAAAAAGCAAACGAACAAATATAGTGGAAAGAAAAAAAGAAAGAAGAAAAGGAACAACGATATTTAAAAGAAAGTAAAATGCAAAAAAACAGTTATAACGAAAAGAAAGAAAAAAGAAACGAACAGCCATAATGAAAAGAAAGAAAAAGCAAACGAAATGTTTTAATGGAAAGGAAAAGTCAAACAAACGAACAGCTATAATGAGAAGAAAGAAAGAAAGAAAGAAAGAAAGAAGCAGACAAACAACTGTAATGAAAGGAAAGTCAAAGGCAAAATAACTGTTATAATGAAAAGAAAGAAGAAGCAAATGAACAGCTATAATGAAGAAAAAGAAAGAAAGAAGCAAACGAACAATTATAATGAAAAGAAAGAAAGGAACGAACGAACAGCCATAATAAAAAGAAAGAAAAAAGGAGCAAACGGAAGAAAGAAAGAAACAAACAAACAGCTATAATGAAAAAAAAAGCAAACGAACAACTGTAATTAAATATAAGATTGAAGTAAACGCACAGCTATAGTGAAGAGAAAGAAGGAAGCAAACGAACAACCATAATTAAAAGAAAGAAAGAAAGAGGCAAACGAACTGTTATAATGAAAAGAAAGAGAGAAAAAAGCAGACGAACAGCTATGATTCAAATAAAAAGAAGGGATGCAAACGAACAGGTATAATGAAACGAAAAATATCAAAATTTGATTCGAAAAAAAAAAAAACGAAATATAAACTGAGAATATACAAATAAATCTAGCGAGCTAGGAAATAAAACAAAAGAATAAGTGAAAGACATTTTTTAAACTATCATAAAAATAACGGAAATGGAAGAACGAAAAGGAAAGAGAAATAAAAAAAAGAAAGAAAACTAAAACATACCTGTAAAAAATGAAGAAGAAAATCAAACCATTTCCATTGACGTCAGAAGAGGCAGGCAGGCCAAATGGCATACAACTAGAATTCTGAGGGACCCAACTCCTCCTGCTCGAAGCAAAGGGCAACACCTTACTAAAAAAAATATTCATATTCTTAAGAGACTCAACATGGATTCTATAGCATGGAATAATGCCCTTTTTAAAATATTATGAAAGTATAAAATTGCATTTTGATTGTAAAAATACCGGCAATGCATTTTTATATGAAAAATGACCAACAATACATTTTTATAGTAAAATGACCAACAATAAATTTTTATAGCAATAGAAAAATGCAACACTAAAAAAGTATAAAAATACATTTTTATAATAAAATGACCAACAATACATTTTATAGCAAAATGACCAACAATACATTTTATAGTAAAATGACCAACAATACATTTTTATAGCAAAATGAAAAATGCAATACATTTTTTATAAAAAGTAAAAAATACAAATAAAAAATGACCAACAATACATTTTATAATAAAATGACCAACAATACATTTTTATAATAAAATGACCAACAGTACATTTTATTATAAAATGACCAACGATACATTTTATCAGTAGTTGAAGGCATACAACTGAGTTAAAAAAATATTTAGTTGAAACCATAAAATTGTTTTCAAAATATTTAAATTTCGGCATTAAATAACCCATAGAGATGTTGATATGCCACTAAACAAAATCAACCAACCAAGCAATTTATTGGCAACTTACATTTCCCGCTTTGATAAATATATTGCTAACCACGGCCCTGCCAACCGTAGATAGACGATTAGCAAATTTGTATCTCAGCCCAAGTAAGTGGTTGACGTAGGTTCAATACTCACTTGGTTTCTTGCAGTAATATTCACCCTGTAGTTTTTTTTTATACATCAATGTTCGTCCTGTCAAAGGCCCAAGAGCCACTCGAGGTAGAAGGCTATAGAGTCAGAACACAGTTTATAGGGATATGTTACAAAGATAACAGGTTTAGATTGTAGTGATCGGAGAAACATCATTCTTGGGAGTTGGTTCCACAGAGCAGCGGTTCAATATCAATATTCAGCAATACAAGGCCAGAGAGCAACTCAAGTTAGAGCGTTACTGAATGAGGTTATTTTATGGACATAAAATTTGGAAGTAAGTACATATTATAAGGATATTTAGTATAGATAACGGTTTACGTGAGGCTTAAAGATGTTACGATTGATCGGAGAAGCAGCTTCTTTTGCAAAGTAGAGGTTCTCAAGAAGAATCTCACTGAGTGAAATTTCTTCATCATGGAACAAGAAAGGAATGAGGAAGATTTTCAAACAAATATGACATAGCAAATATTAGCTGTAAGTATCTGAACTGGTGGAACTAAGGAATGAACATTTGCTATGAGAATAGCGATAGAATAGCGATTGGCCTCGACGTTTTGTCTGTGAGAAAAGAGGCTGTAGGGTGGAAAATAATTCATCACCCACAAGGCCACAGAGACAATAAATTTTTGCCATTCCGTCAAGGCTGGAAAATTAAATTTGGTCGTGTTAGATTAAGCTAGATATACTTCGTGGCTGATGCATTTGTGTGCTTCCGATCGGATCTAGTGGCAAATATACGAGTTCAGATATTAAAAAAGTTGAAGAGGGGGCAGTGTTTGAAATCCTGATTTTCAAGGGAAGGAATATATAAAGAATTTCCGAGAGGATTTAATTTTTATTTCGGTTGTCGTCTTAAAGAATTGTATGCTTCACTACATGCGTTGTGTTTTAATTCAACTATCCCCCCCTCACAAAAAATAAATACGATTTGCAAAGGTGAGCTAAGATGTTTTCTCTGGTGAAAGTAATTCGTCATTGATACAAAGGTCAGAGTTCAAAGCCGTGCTCCGAAATAAAAGCAAGAAGATCTTTTAATCTTTTAAATCCTTAAAACTTCCTCGTTGAAGTTTTAAGAAAAACTCAGAACAAGAAAGTTGATGCGTACAATCAGAAAAAAAAAAGATAATTTCTGAAATATATACACAATCTACCATTGTTAAGCTACCACACTAACGGGGTTCAAGCCCTCACACCAAAATCAGTTTCGATCATGGAAATTCTAACCAGTACGGTTGAATGTACCGGGTATGACATCAAAATTGTCCTAATCGCGTGACAGCATGGGATCATTATCCATGCCGCAAATTGTTTAATATCAAAAAAACACTAAACTAATTGAGTTTATTTTTTCCAGCTTTTCAGATAAGAAGTTTAACCATTTATGGTAAGAATCACAGAACAAAAAACCTTTGAGTTATTCAGCTAAAAAGAGAGCAGGTTAAAATCGTTTTATGTCTGCCCTTCTATCGCCCAGCATGTCCTAGGCGAGGTGTGTAGACACGAGCCTGCGACATCCGATGGAATCATCTTTTATAACATGTCTTTAATTTGTATTCAGATACATTGTATTTATTTTCAATTTTTCAAGTTGAATTGTTCACCTATATTCCATATAATCCATTATTATACATAATTAGGATCCAATAAAATTGGTATTTTATTCTTCGTTGTTTGGGAAAATTAAGATATATTTAGAGTGGGGGGGCATTGAATCATACATTCTGTGGGACATATCATAGATTCGGAACATGCCTAAAGACCTTTGCATCCGCCCTGATGTTAGGCATTCACACAAACTCGTTTAGTAGTTTCCTTGCTGTTTCAATGTCCTTGTTTTTGCTCTCAGTATGTCCTGTAAGCGTTAGATTTTCCAAGCCGTTATTCTTCATTATGTTTTACTGAAATCCATAAAAATCTTTCTGATTGTAAGTATACGGAAATTTTACTTCCTATTTACCTTAAAACTTCCTTGTAGCTCACATGTCCTATCCTTGGTATTCTTAGCATTTGCGATATACAACATGGCGTCCCCCTTCTTCACCTGTGTATTCACAGAAATATGAGATCAGATACAAAACATTTCAGTCCAGAACGAATTTTGTATTTTATATCTCTTAAAACTTTCTGTAAGATATATTTTGTTTATCCCTTTGTAGGTTATTTAGTTTTTTTATTTAAATTATTTGGACTATTATCCTTATCGTCATCGTTTCGGCAGTTGTTTTTTTCCGGCCTTCTTCAGGTGGTTGAAATGTCGAACTGAACCCTTTATTTCGCTCAATTTCGACTGTTCTAGTTAATGGTGCCATGTTTAAAGGATGTCAGTTATCAGTTATCTCCTGTTAATTATTCTGAAAGTTCTCCACTGCCTTAAATGGGTATTGAACTCACACTTTTGGGTCCTCAAGGACACATGGCACAGTGGATAAAGGCGTTGGTTAGATTCAGTGACAAGACTGTCATTGCTCACATGTCATTTGATAGAAATGGTATTTCAGCACCCTTCTGCAGATCCAAATTTCTGTTGCTTCCAATCGCTTCTTCATCTCTGTGAAGATTGTCCGGCATCCATTAACGATCCCTTGTGATTTGGGCTTTCCACAGAAGCTCTTTATCTCTCTTAAACGTTTCTCCGCTATCTGTTTATTTACATTTCAGTCCAGAGTCATTTTCTATTTTCCTTATCTCTTATAACTTTCTGTAAGATATTTTCTTTATCCCGTTGTCAAATTTATTTCTTTTTCTTCTATGCGCCATGACCCTTGCGACCTTGGCTTTCCACGATTTCCTGTTCCTTGTAGCTCGTAATAAAGGTTTTTATTATCTCTCTTAAACGTTTCTCCGCTATCCATTTACTTAACCTCGCTATACGTGTGTTTTCCTCTACAGACTCTCTTGCCTTCAACATGTCCTGTCGGCAACAAATTTTCCAACCCAACTTTTTTCATTATCTATTCTAGAAATTTCAAATGTCTCTTTTTGGTGTTAAGGTTTTGTTTCGATTTTCTCTAAGACTTTGTCATTGCTCACATATCCAGGCCATGATATTCTCAGCATTCTTCTTCATCTGTGTGAAGATTATCCAGCATCAATTAACCAAGTAGGTGGGCCTATATTATATAATAATTGTCATGGGTCCTTACCTATAACTACAGAATGAACTCTTCCTAACACTATGTATACTACGCCTCTCTAGAGAGACAAATTGATTCGGGCCGAATTTTCGGCTTGACGGTCGAATATAACTCTACCTCTGAACAGAGAAACCCGGACGAGGCTCCGCCGAAAGGGCAGAGTCTATGAAGGGGAGGTTAATTAACCCGATCCGATTTTATACGGGTATTACGGTATTTTTTGGCCGACATTACGGGCTCGGGAAACTTATTAAACTCGGCCTTGTGCCATATGCAACCCCTTTTGGGGTTAAATTAGATACCGAATCGAGTCGAGCCGTTTTGGCTTGACGGTCGAACTCTCTGCCTCTGAGCAGAGAGGAACCCGGACGAGACTCCGCCGAAGGGTAGAGCCTCGTTCGGGGAGGTTGACCAACCCGATTCTGTTTTTACAGTTTCTTGGTAATTTTTTGGCCGAGCCTACGGGCTCGGAAAACCCACCTAAAACTCGGCCTTGTGCCACATCTTTACCTCGTGGGGAAGTAAGTAAATATCAAATCGAGTCGAGCCGATAGTAGTTCACTCCAAACCAGCCTGACAGTCATACTAACACCTTCCACATCTTGTATTATTATTTTGTGTGATATACCTTCGTTATTTCTACTCTTGTGTTCGTGTTGTTCTTCCTTGGTCCTAACCTGGACCATAACAATAATGTTGAATGCGCCTTCGGATTTTGGTGTCAATTTTTCTACTCGTCTGATTTTGGTGTGTTCAATTTCTAGTTTGCTTGTTAGGCTGTTTCTTTTTTCTATCAACTATACATTGTGTCTTCTTACAATTGATGTTTAGTCCTTTCTTCTAGCTTTCCTTCACTGCCTTCTGTAGGAGTCTTTGTGGTTTCTCTTTTTTGTCTGCTATCAACACTGTATCATCTTCATATCTTATGTTGTTAAGATTGTGACCGCCTTTAATGAATCCTGGTAAGATTTCCAATTCTCTCAGTATCTGTTATTCATAATGACGGTCGTCTTCGAGTATAGAATCCAGAGGTTAGCAGTGAATA